TTTCACTGTTTCATACAGACAAGTTTCTGATGGACATAGCAAATATCACATTACTACACCTCTCCCTTCTTTGAGATAGAGTTTCCTATAATGTTGGAGAAGGTGCATTAAGCCTGTTGAATACATACAGTATCGGCTGAATCGGTTTGGATCAAATCTAACAACCAAAATATATATGAGTGATTTGGCTATTTTCTTCTGAGAGTTGTTAGCACTTGTATTTGTGTAAAATCCTATACGTACGAGGTTAGTTATATTTGAGATCAACTGAATGCAAACACAACAATAAAAGGACTGCTGTCTTAAACCTGACATTACAAAATCCTTGTCGAAATCATGAACTGCAAAATACTAGACAAAGTCAAATAGAACTTTCATAACACTTACAACCTTGAAAACACCTTATTGAGGTCTGCTATAACACCAAACTGAAACAATAGAGTATTGTGCAACATTTGGCATTTCAACATCATTTGCAACAAAGTTGTGCATATATGTGTACTTGCACAGCATGACAATAAAATAAATGTTATTAACCAAAATAAATCATTTCTGTTCTTGTACTTTTTCTTTTGGAAACTAATGATGCAAAGAACAGTCCAAGTTAAAATACATTGTACCACACAATATACAACAATAATGCTTTTGAACGAAATTACTAATAAACACATCATGTTTGTACTTTCAGTGTACAGTAATTTGACATACATACATGTACGTACATTTAAATCATTTTTTGTTTGTTTGTTTACAATATCTGTTTTGTTCGTGAAATATTAATCCTCTTTCCATCCTTCCTCTCTCCCTTTTCAATGAACAATAATGACAAACATATCAAAATAATCATCATCATTCGAACAGTATCTCTATATAAAAAAATAGACTGTTGCATTATTGAACTCACAACTGAAAATTGCTTGAAAAAAGAATTTAGGAAAAAAACATTCCGTATCAATCAGTGTGATGGAGTGGAACTGGTAGATGCGAAGCAGTATGAAAAGATTACCGGTAAAGACAAACATCAGAATGACAAAATGCATAAACAACCATTGGGGGGGGGGGGGGGTCAAACTAGCTACTGAGATGAAGGCATTTCATCCAAAACATGCATGTAACCAAAACACTATGAGTACTGTCAAAAGGGAGGAACCGAAATATAGTTCTATGAGACATAGTCTGTCAAATATCGAGGCCGTCGCCGGGTACGAGAAGGGCGACTGGAGGGGGCAGGATGTCGGGAGTGAATGTTAGGGGCAGGGGGAACATCATAGTGATGTCCTGGAATGAGAATCCCTTCCTCGTCGCCAAATGTCGTATCTTATATGTCCATAAATACGAAAGTAAATACTGCTAGAAGTATACGCCATTATGCTCGTTGCTAAGCTTACTTTATTCTGCCGGAGAGGGCAGTATTTCACTGTTTCGTACAGACAAGTTTCTGATGGATATACATAGCAAATATCACATTACTACACGTAGAATCGCAAATAATGTAATAAACAACCATATTTACTTTATTATTACCCTATTATCACTTGATCCATTACTTTTCGCCTGTAATCCCCATGGGAGATGACTTTTTCTCAAATCTGGATTCTACATTCCTGTCTTTTGCGAGCAATATCGCCGTTATTTCCGCCTGGTTTTTGTTGATTTTGGAGTATGTTGTAGCTGAGACTCTATGCTATCTAAATGTCCCCTCATCTTTTCAATCAGATGTCAGAATCACGCTCATGATCATCATCATGATCATCATGATCATGATCATCATCATGGTCTGATCATGATCATGATCATCAACATCATCATCATCATCATCATTAACATTATCATTATAATCATCATCATAATCATTACTATCAAGATCATCATCATCATCATCATCATTATGATCATTGTTTACATTTACATATCGTTAAAATTTCTCTCTTTTTCTATATGGGAGATGACTTTTTCTCAAATCTGGATTCTACATCCCTGTCTTTTGAGAGCAATATCGCCGTTATTTCCGCTTGTTTTTTAAAATATATTTGAGCATGTTGTAGCTGAGACTATATGCTATCTAAATGTCCCCTCATTTTTTTCAATCAGATGTCAGGATCACGCTCATGATCATCATCATCAATATCATCATCATCGTGATGGTCTGATGATCATCAACATCATCATTAACATTATTATTATTATCATCATCTAACATTATCATTACCATCACCTTCATGTTCATTATCATCATGATCATCATTGTCTATGTCTATATAACTTCTCCCTTTCTCTATATAGTAAATATTCAAATCTATTTATGCTAGTAGAGTGCCTCGATTGCATCTCTTTCTCTTTCTCCTCTCTCTTGCTATGTTCCCCTTCTCCTCTCTTGTTCTGCCCCTCTCTCTTGCTTTGTTTCTGCATCCCCCTCTCTCTTTCTCTACTCTTCACCCTCTCCCTTCCTTCGTCTCACTCCTTCCTTGCCTCCCTCTTTCTCCCTTGCGATGTCTCGATCTATCTCTGCCCTTCTCTTTTGTTATACTCTCTCACCCTCTCCCTATTCCGCCTCTGACTCTCGTTCTCCCTCTATTATGTCTTCCAGTGTTCCCCAATCTTCTTTAACTTTTTCTTCTAACCTTTGTATTCTTGTTTCACCCCTACCATGTACTATAGAGAGAAACATGAAATAAAGTCTATTAGTAAACAGGTCTATTCATTGTTAAATTCATGTTCAAAGCACTAAACAAAGCTTATCAAACCAAAGTCAAAGCTAAATTGCATAGACCTATCTACATGCATGTAAATGACATTCTGCACCAAACTTAACATCACGCTATTTCCTTGGCGATCTAAAAAAGAACCGCAATGCAATATTACAAATGGTAATCACCTATCATCTTCAAACACATTTTAAAAGAAATAAATTTTAAAAACAGCATATCCAATTAAATTTGATATACCAAAATAAAAGCACATACTGAAAAGAGCAGCATTGTACAAATCTCTAAAAAGGGCATTTTAACATGTATATATATTCAACAGAAATGGAATACATATATAAAACAGGTACATAAACAAGATACCTACTGATTATATGAAAGGCCCCCTACATAGCAAGTGAGATATAAGTTCAGATAAACACAATAAAATAAAACTAAAAAACAATGTACATTATGGATAATCCCTAACAGCCCTATATACCTCTTTGTTACAGCAAGCAAGACACTGCTATGTATAGTGAATGCAGTAGATATTGACAGTTGATCGTAAGGTACCACTATATATGGGGTAAATGTTGCAAATAAACTGACATTATAATCATAATCCAATATTGACTATTCACAAAACAAACTGGATATGTGACCTCTAATGACATAAAATTGTAGTGTACAAACATGTGCCATTGAACCCCAATCTTCTTTAACTTTTCCTTCTAACCTTTGTATTCTTGTTTCACCCCCTACCATGTACTATAGAGAGAAACATAAAATGAAGTACATTAGTAAACAGGTCTATTCATTGTTAACCAAAGTCAAAGCTAAATTGCATAGACCTATCTACATGCATGTAAATGACATTCTGCACCAAACTTAACATCACGCTATTTCCTTGGCGATCTAAAAAAGAACCGCAATGCAATGTTACAAATGGTAATCACCTATCATCTTCGAACACATTTTAAAAGAAATAAATTTTAAAAACAGCATATCCAATTAAATTTGATATACCAAAATAAAAGCACATACTGAAAAGAGCAGCATTGTACAAATCTCTGAAAAGGGCATTTTAACATGTATATATATTCAACAGAAATGGAATACATATATAAAACAGGTACATAAACAACATAAGTTCAGATAAACACAATAACAATAAAAACTAAAAAACAATGTACATTATGGATAATCCCTAACAGCCCTATATACCTCTTTGTTACAGCAAGCAAGACACTGCTATGTATAGTGAATGCAGTAGATATTGACAGTTGATCGTAAGATACCACTATATATGGGGTAAATGTTGCAAATAAACTGACATTATAATCATAATCCAATATTGACTATTCACGAAACAAACTGGATATGTGACCTCTAATGACATAAAATTGTAGTGTACAAACATGTGCCATTGAAAATCATAATCGTGTAATATATGACAATATAACAAATTACAGTGAATTGTCTTTCGCTGTACTACTAAGATCTGTTATCCTGATGTTAAAAAGAAGACAAACAGTAACTGTTATCAATGATATCCATCAGATTCTGTTTCATATATCAGCAACATCAACCAATATAAGAATTACGGTAATGCCAAGATAAGAAGAGTGACATGCATGTATAACTTCTTTTCCCCAAGGAGCATGCATAAGATCTATCTTTACAATATATCACTCAAAACACTGTGTGAATACAAGGATTTACAAACTTACAGAAAAATAAACGTGTTAAATCCCAAAATCTTGCAATGTATGTGCAAAGTTAAAACACAAATGTAATAAAATACATCATAATGGCGCTTTGTTTCTGCATCCCCCTCTCTCTCTACTATTCACCCTCTCTCTTCCTCTGTCTCAAATAAGATACAACTATAAAGGAATGAGAGCGTAAAAGGAATTGAACAATCAGAAACAAAAACTATCATATAAAAATACATGTAGTTACATGGAAGTGCACACAAAATCCCAAAATATCTTGTGTGGAACAAAGGTATATGTTTACATTGTCATACCAGTAAAAATAAGACTAAAATCACACAGAAACATGGTATCAGAAAATAAATGTAAGAATCAGAGGTGGAAAAATGGACATGAACACACGTTAGTATGAATAAAGAAAAAAAAAGTATGCTGAGCCATACAGAGTGGCATTCAAAATGTCTTGGTCGAGATCGAGGCTACTTGTGCCACAATGCTCTTATGACAGAGCCGTAACCACTCCCCAAGGCCTAGTCTTCGTTGAACCAGGTATCACCGGAGGGCTGAAGTCCTGGGGTGATGTTACCGCTGTGTGTTGGACGATGAGGACAGCCTTCTGACTCGAGGGCGGTAGTTTGTTTGAACTGGTGAGCAAAGGGATATGGTGGTGCACGGTCATTGGTGACTAGGGTTGTAGATAGAAGTGAGCTTTGCAACGTTGCGCTTTGCAGTCATCTGAAGAAGTTATCTGAAGAAGTGAAGTTTAAAAAAATCATTTGAAGATTAGGAATATGAACAGTACTCAATTTTTCTTTCTTAAAAGTGTTAACCTTATTAATGAACGCATTTGACATTAAAAGTGTTCTGTCTATGCAACCCCAATGTAACATTTTCAAAGCAAAAAGATATGTCATAGAATTGCCAATTTACTCCAGGTGTGCCAATTTTGTGGGAATCAACAGTGTAGTGGCCGAGGTCAACCATCTATCCGGAGGAGCTTGAAATAACTCTGTACAGTAGGGTTAGGCTTTTTCAAACATTTTAGTTTGGCAATCTTTCCTTACCCTGTGAAGGTCCTGATACATTACATGTATATGCTGGTGTTCCATACTTCTGCCACAATGCTGTTTTGGTGACAGAGCCGTAAACACTCCCCAAGGCCTAGTCTTCGCTGAACCAGGTATCACCGGAGGGCTGAAGTCCTGGGGTGATGTTACCGCTGTGTGTTGGACGATGAGGACAGCCTTCTGACTCGAGGGCGGTAGTTTGTTTCAACTGGTGAGCAAAGGGATATGGTGGTGCACTGTCATTGGTGACTAGGGTTGTAGAAATGAGCTTTGCAACGTTGCGCTTTGCAGTCATCTGAAGAAGTTATCTGAAGTGAAATAAAAAAAATCATTTGAAGATTAGGAATATAAACAGTACTAAATGTTTCTTTTTTGAAAGTGTTAACATTACTAATGAACGCATTTGACATAAAAAGTATTCTGTCTATGCAACCCCAATGTAACATTTTCAAAGCAAAAAGATATGTCATAGAATTGCCAATTTACTCCAGGTGTGCCAATTTTGTGGGAATCACTAGTGTAGTGGCCGAGGTCAGCCATCTATCAGGAGGAGCTTGAAATAACTCTGTACAGTAGGGTTAGGCTTTTTCAAACATTTTAGTTTGGCAATCTTTCCTTACCCTGTGAAGGTCCCGATACATTACATGTATATGCTGGTGTTCCATACTTCTGCCACAATGCTGTTTTGGTGACAGAGCCGTAAACACTCCCCAAGGCATAGTCTTCGCTGAACCAGGTATCACCGGAGGGCTGAAGTCCTGGGGTGATGTTACCGCTGTGTGTTTGGACGATGAGGACAGCCTTCTAAATCGAGGGCGGTAGTTTTTGTTTGAACTGGTGAGCAAAGGGGTATGGTGGTGCACGGTCATTGGTGACTAGGGTTGTAGAAGTGAGCTTTGCAACATTGCGCTTTGCAGTCATCTGAAGAAGTTATCTCAAGAAGTGAAATTTAAAAAAATCATTTGAAGATTAGGAATATGAACTTACTCAATTTTTCTTTCTTAAAAGTGTTAACCTTATTAATGAACGCATTTGACATAAAAAGTGTTCTGTCTATGCAACCCCAATGTAACATTTTCAAAGCAAAAAGATATGTCATAGAATTGCCAATTTACTCCAGGTGTGCCAATTTTGTGGGAATCAACAGTGTAGTGGCCGAGGTCAACCATCTATCCGGAGGAGCTTGAAATAACTCAGTACAGTAGGGTTAGGCTTTTTCAAACATTTTAGTTTGGCAATCTTTCCTTACCCTGTATATGCTGGTGTTCCTTACTTCTGCCATAATGCTGTTATGATGACAGAGCCGTAAACACTCCCCAAGGCCTAGTCTTTGCTGAACCAGGTATCACCGGAGGGCTGAAGTCCTTGGGTGATGTTACCGCTGTGTGTTGGATGATGAGGACAGCCTTCTGACTCGAGGGCGGTAGTTTGTTTGAACTGGTGAACAAAGGGATATGGTGGTGCACTGTCATTGGTGACTAGGGTTGTAGAAATGAGCTTTGCAATGTTGCGCTTTGCAGTCATCTGAAGAAGTTATATGAAGTGAAATAAAAAAAATCATTTGAAGATTAGGAATATGAACAGTACTGAATTTTTCTTTTTTAAAAGTGTTCACCTTCTTAATAAACGCATTTGACATAAAAAGTATTCTGTCTATGCAACCCTAATGTAACATTTTCAAAGCAAAAAGATATGTCATAGAATTGTCAATTTACTCCAGGTGTGCCAATTTTGTGGGAATCAATAGTGTAGTGGCCGAGGTCAGCCATCTATCAGGAGGAGCTTGAAATAACTCTGTACAGTAGGGTTAGGCTTTTTCAAACATTTTAGTTTAATCTTTCCTTACCCTGTGAAGGTCCTGATACATTACATGTATATGCTGGTGTTCCATACTTCTGCCACAATGCTGTTTTGGTGACAGAGCCGTAAACACTCCCCAAGGCATAGTCTTCGCTGAACCAGGTATCACCGGAGGGCTGAAGTCCTGGGTGATGTTACCGCTGTGTGTTGGACGATGAGGACAGCCTTCTGACTCGAGGGCGGTAGTTTGTTTGAACTGGTGAGCAAAGGGGTATGGTGGTGCACTGTCATTGGTGACTAGGGTTGTAGAAATGAGCTTTGCAACGTTGCGCTTTGCAGTCATCTGAAGAAGTTATCTCAAGAAGTGAAATAAAAAAAATCATTTGAAGATTAGGAATATAAACAGTACTAAATGTTTCTTTTTTGAAAGTGTTCACATTATTAATGAACGCATTTGACATAAAAAGTATTCTGTCTATGCAACCCCAATGTAACATTTTCAAAGCAAAAAGATATGTCATAGAATTGCCAATTTACTCCAGGTGTGCCAATTTTGTGGGGAATCACTAGTGTAGTGGCCGTGGTCAGCCATCTATCAGGAGGAGCTTGAAATAACTCTGTACAGTAGGGTTAGGCTTTTTCAAACATTTTAGTTTGGCAATCTTTCCTTACCCTGTATATGCTGGTGTTCCATACTTCTGCCACAATGCTGTTTTGGTGACAAAGCCGTAAACACTCCCCAAGGCCTAGTCTTCGCTGAACCAGGTATCACCGGAGGGCTGAAGTCCTGGGGTGATGTTACCGCTGTGTGTTGGACGATGAGGACAGCCTTCTGACTCGAGGGCGGTAGTTTGTTTGAACTGGTGAGCAAAGGGTATGGTGGTGCACGGTCATTGGTGACTAGGGTTGTAGAAGTGAGCTTTGCAATGTTGCGCTTTGCAGTCATCTGAAGAAGTTATCTCAAGAAGTGAAATTTAAAAAAATCATTTGAAGATTAGAATATGAACAGTACTCAATTTTTCTTTCTTAAAAGTGTTAACCTTATTAATGAACGCATTTGACATAAAAAGTGTTCTGTCTATGCAACCCCAATGTAACATTTTCAAAGCAAAAAGATATGTCATAGAATTGCCAATTTACTCCAGGTGTGCCAATTTTGTGGGAATCAACAGTGTAGTGGCCGAGGTCAACCATCTATCCGGAGGAGCTTGAAATAACTCAGTACAGTAGGGTTAGGCTTTTTCAAACATTTTAGTTTGGCAATCTTTCCTTACCCTGTATATGCTGGTGTTCCATACTTCTGCCACAATGCTGTTATGATGACAGAGCCGTAAACACTCCCCAAGGCCTAGTCTTTGCTGAACCAGGTATCACCGGAGGGCTGAAGTCCTTGGGTGATGTTACCGCTGTGTGTTGGATGATGAGGACAGCCTTCTGACTCGAGGGCGGTAGTTTGTTTCAACTGGTGAGCAAAGGGATATGGTGGTGCACTGTCATTGATGACTAGGGTTGTAGAAATGAGCTTTGCAACGTTGCGCTTTGCAGTCATCTGAAGCAGTTATCTGAAGTGAAATAAAAAAAATCATTTGAAGATTAGGAATATGAACAGCACTGAATTTTTCTTTTTTAAAAGTGTTAACCTTATTAATGAACGCATTTGACATAAAAAGTATTCTGTCTATGCAACCCCAATGTAACATTTTCAAAGCAAAAGATATGTCATAGAATTGCCAAATTACTCCAGGTGTAAAGGGCCTCCTTCTTTTTTTCAAAAAAAACAGGACGCTAAACATGTTTTATTTTTTATTTGGCCTTACAATAAATATCAAAATGCAATCTTAACAGCTTCATGGTAACTATAATATGTAGGGATGACCTCTGTTTCCAATAATCTAGTCCCTTGCTGTACACATGATCTATCAATGTCCCCTTCTCAGTAGTACCATTAACAACATGCTGTTTGTAACCTTTATTACACATCAGCTTGTTTACCTGTGAAGAACCTTTAAACAAATCCTCATTAAAATCTCCCATCACAATACACCTAATGCTTCTTTTGTGTAATGCATCTAGCAAATTGTCTAATGATTCACAGAATGATTTTATACTATATGATGGAGGTCGATAAACAACTGAAATCACAACAGAAACTGGTTTGGTGACAAGAATTGCAATAAACTCTAAGTTGTCGACAGATATGTCTAATCTACTTGAATATGTATTCTTGATATACATTGCAACACCTCCGTGCGATTGTTCTTTGAGTACATTTCCAACTCAAGAATTACAGTATGAAAGATGTCGTGGCTGATGATAAAATCGAAAGTTATCTAAAATAACGTCACAGAGATCATCATCATTAATCCTGTTTCGGTCAAGCAAATACAATCTACATTCACAAATTGGCACTGGGATTTGAAATCGATAAAATGCTGTTTTAATCCTTGTACATTTTGCATTACCAAAGAAAAGTTATAATCGTGAATATCTTCAGAAGTTTCATTCTCGATAACGGCTTCATAATCTCAATGCGTTCTTTAATTTCTGGATTACAATATATACGTTTAGGATCGAAATGTTCTATCACAAGTCCAGATAACGAAGTAACGCGACTAAGCCCAACATATGCCTGTCCAGATTGAAATACATTTTTTAATGATACAACAGCTTTGTCTAATGTCGAACCTTGTACTTTATGAATTGTGCAAGCATAAGCAAGCTTAAGTGGAAATTGTTTTCTCACATATTTCTTACCAATGGATTCTTGAGACATTTCGATTGAATGAATACCAATATCGGCCTTCTCAAATTAACTTTGATGCAAACTGGATTCAAATTTGTATGATCCGTTATTATTTCTGTTACATTTCGAAACATCCATTTGTCAGGGCCTTTACTAACATCAATGTTTTTGAGCAGCATCACTCTAGCATTAACTGCAATCCACAGATAAGGAGGCAACTGGTTTTTCTTCTTTGTATAAGGTTTTTTCCCGTATTTGATTTCCTTTTTAACATCTTTGTCCATGTCTTGTGCTTTTACGCATATCACATCTCCACATTTTGTATGCAATAATTTCTTGTTCCAAGCATCTACTTCATTGTTACATGCATAGATATGCAGAGCATTTTCACATTCTTCACCAGTCTCGCAGGACTTGAGCATTGCTAGGTCTTCATCACAGAGAATCTCTTCCCCTTGTTTTACACGTAATCTATTTAAGAGAAAAGCGAATTGGGTATCGTCTTTTTGTCTCATAATGTCTTCAAGTTCTACTTTCTTGAAATTAGCATTCCACAATGCACCATTGAGTGTGTCTTTATATAAAGGAGTTCCTAAGACTGGAGGTAACTGATACATGTCTCCCACAGCAATAACTGAAACACCAGCAAAAGCAGTTTGATCTCGTGATTGTTTTATTTGTCGTAGGCGGCCGTGAATGTAGACATCATCTTTTGATCTACCATTGATACTTCATCTATGATTAAAATTTGCAATTCAGCCAGCTTATTTCGAAGGACACTTATTTTCTCATCACTCAGCGGTTGATACAGTACTTGTGCATTGATTGGAATAGAAAGAATACTATTTATAGTATGGCCATTGATATTGTATGCAGCTACTCCGTTGGAGCCATTTTCAATACTGAGACATCATCAGGATGTGGCAACATTCGGGCTAGTATACGTGTTGCTTCATAGTAAAGACATTTGATCAAATGACTCTTTCCAGTGCCAGCACCTCCAGTTAGAAACATATGAAACGGTTCGACCGATTTTCCATTTACTCTATCTAAACACCACTGTCGTATTTTGTAAAAAACACTCTGTTGCTTCTCATTCAAAGACCTCATCAAAGAATGTCCATCTTGTTTGGAAATTTTACCGAACGTAGTTCGATGCTATAGTCATCTTTTTTCGGTTCATTCTTTAAATCTGGGATATCAAGATCTCCATCACAATCTTCGACATCTACATTTTCTTTGGGATGTTCAAGTCGCTCTACTTCCTTTCCGGACATAAAAGACCCCATGCATCTTCGTGTGGACCAAATTTGTCAAGATGCTCCTGTGCATGATCAATTGCATCGGCGTTCATTTCAAACTTCTTTCGGTTAGTACAGACAATTGACCAGACTTTCTCCATTCACGTCCACATATTTTCACAGAACCTGTCTCGTAGAACTCTTCATGTGTTTCAAATGTTGGGGGCTTTAATTGTCCATCTTCAAAATATGCAGAAAGAGTTGCAAAATGCTCAAATAATTTTTTCGGGTGAGATAATGGTGAGAATCGGGATATCTTACAACTGCATCTCCCGTACGAGTACGCTTCTGATATACCCCAGATCGTTATCTAATTTAAAGACATTTTTTACTTCTTGTACTTGGCTTTTGGGATGCAGTTAAGATTCTATACTGAGAACAAAACGTTGCAAGACACATATCACTGAATTCTGCGTTTCTAGGTCGAGCTTTGTATCTGTCGAGCTTGCTAGGCATCCAAACATTCTCATCATCATCATTATCGTTATCTGGTCTCTTTTTATAACGCTTAATGGTAAACTCATTCTGACAGGGTCGGGTCCAACAGGAATGAATTCCACTTTCCCTAGAACATTCTTTCAATCTGAGACTGCAAACACGATAGACGCTTTCTTGAGCAGACACTTCACGATTTTGCATGTACACCTGGCCAAGTTTTTCATGCTTTCCTTTGCGTTTTCATTTCCCTCTTTCATTTCTGATAGTGTATGACTCAATAGCATTCCGATTTCTCGTTCAGCTTTTGACATGTAGGATACAATATAAGCCACGCATGCAAATACATTTGTTACAAACTGCAAATCCATGTTGGCATTCCAGCTTCTTAGTAGACTTGGATTAAACTGATTTACCCATACATCTTGTATTTCTCTCTTGATGATTATACTTTGTTGTGATGCTAATTCATTATGTGCATTCTCAAATTGATTTTGTGTAATGCCAAGCTTTTCAAAGAGATGGTTTACACTGTTGTACTCGATTCCTTGGATAATGCATCTTTAACTGACTTCAACAATTTCTCTGCATCATCTTTAATCTTTTTAGAAGCTTTAATTTTGATCATTGTCCTTTCCCTTATTTTGCACTTTCCCACAATCTTTAGCTGGAATCTCTTCAACAGGTGTTACAATGAATGTTTTTTCAGATGGTGGTCTTGGGAAATTAAATCTACACGCTTTTCCCCGTTTTTGTGCAAGATTTAGAATGTTTCTTACTGTGTTGTTGGACCTTGCTCACTATTTCATGTAGTTCTTGATCTCCTTTTCATCCGGTTTCTTCTGGCAAGAAATTTATTTATCTACGAATTGTACGACATCATCATCTTTATCGATACCCAACTGTGGGAGCATTTTGAACCCAGAACAAGGCATGAATGTGAGGGGAACCACGGGCTTGATACTCTACTCTCCAAAATGAATCAACTACTTTACCAATCGGTGCAGCGGGAGATAAAATAACTCTCTTCATAAAAGTGTGAAATCTTTTATCAAACATTCTGGCAACTGTTACTGGATTTGATCTTAAAAGATTACATTTTTCTGTATAGTCTAATTCACTCGATTCCCTGGTGTCTCCTTTTGTCTAAGCAATGTATTCATTAATTCTGGCCATCTCATATCGGCAGATGAGAAAGAAGCAAACCATGTCGGCTTTCAAGCTGTCGTACCATTGCGAGAACATCTTTTTGTGTCTTTTGCCAGAATGGAGGTGTTCCACGAATTTGCTTTAAAAATTTATAGCCCTTGTCTGATTTTAGTATTTTTTTAACTTTCTCTGCATCTTTCAAATCTGAGGCAGTTATTGAAGACGAATCATCTTTTTTGTTTGGACTTTGCCTTAAAGCGATAGAAACTTGTGATATAACCTGTTGAATTTCATAAAATATTGTGCATAAAAGATGTAATCTGTATTCTGAGCAAATCTGTTGTCCACGTGCATCAGTCGGTTATGGAGATAACGTCCTAATGTTATTTTTTCATCTCTTCTATCATGGAATGTTGGTTGACCTTTAGGAAATAATACTGGGAAACATTTGGCCTCATTGCTTTCATCTTGTAGAATTGATACAGGGCTTCTTCCTTCACAAGGAGCACAACATATTATGTCTTCAAAATACTGATCTAATATTTCCTGTCCAATATCTACTGGCTGGAGACACGAGTCTAACTGAATACGCGTAATCGTTCTTCCTATCGTCTTCAGTGTCCTTGTCATTTATTTTTTGTGTAGTTTACTGTTGTCTTGCATGTTTTCATTAGTATTTTTTTGTCTTTGGACAAAATGTAATCAATTTGTTCTTCCATTTCTTCCAATATTTTGCTAAACGACTTTACCACCGATTTCCACTGCTTCTTCCTTTATCATTATCTTTTTCATTTCGTTCAAGTGATTTTCCCATTTATCATTTACTGTAACATCAAAATACCACTTATTATTTGCTTTTTAATACTGCAGAGCATTAAGCAAGTTAGATTTATCTACAAATTTGTACTCATAATAGCTTTTGTACGACAATTTTCGTTTGAGTTTAACACGGATCAATTGATCTTCAGTCTGTGGTCTTGGCAACATATCTACTGTTTCATAAGTGTTTGAAGGCACGCACACGACTGGGCCATGGACTCCATTTTGACCACCTTTAGGCAAGGCCATTAACTTCATGAAAGGAATATTCAATGCAATCAAATGCTGTTCTAAATTGTTCAGATTGGCAAGTTCTTTTGGAACTTCATGTAGTTGTAAATTGTTCATATTTGCTTCTGCAGGTACTTTTCCAGCTTGCAATTTTCTATGACAGGTGAAGCATATCCATAGTGACGATCTGGCTGACTGGCCTATTAAACATTTTGACCGGCATTCTGAATTGCAAACATGCAAATATTCTTCACTTATGCATGTCTGATTTTATAATTACTCTTTTTACATTTCAATACTTGGTTTCTCAAAGAGAAGTTTTAAGCATACACAGCACACATATTCTGTGGGCCATGAGAAATTATCTTTCTAAATTCTTCAAGTACAATATCAAACTCGGACAATTTTACCGTTCGAAGTACAGACCTTTTTCGATTTTGTTTTATTACATTTTGCCTATATTTTTCAATTCTTTTATATTTCATTTTTAAGCTCATCAATTTTTTTTTTCCTTAAATTCGTTGCCTTTATATCTAATTTTGGACAATGTTTTCATATTTGCCTTTTTTGTATGTTTAAATTGCTGATCGTTTGCAATATATTTCTTCATTTGTTTTTTCATGATATCTTGTTGTTTTTCCTTAAAATTTTCATCGTTGCGATATAATTCCTTTATTCGTTTTTTCATGATATCTTGTTGTTTTTTCTTAAAATTTTCATCGTTGCGATATAATTCCTTTATTCGTTTTTTCATGATATCTTGTTGTTTTTTCTTAAAATTTTCATCGTTGCGATATAATTCCTTTATTTTTTCGTTTTTCATGATATCTTGTTGTTTTTTCTTAAAATGTTTGTTGTTCAATATTTACTTCTTAATTTGCTTTTATGCATTCGTTTTAAATAGTTCATCATGCTGGTATTTCTTCTTACTCTACTCTTGTGCATTCGTTTAAATAGTTCATCATGCTGGTATTTACTTCTTATTCTACTCTTGTGCATTCGTTTAAATAGTTCATCATGCTGGTATTTACTTCTTATTCTACTACTCTTGTGCATTCGTTTAAATAGTTCATCGTTCCAATATCTATTTTTCATTTTAATCCTCATAGCTGTTTTTAACATTTTCTTTGAATCCTTCATTTCTCAAATATTTTTGTTATTTCCATACAAAATTTTCTTTTTATAACGTGAATCAAAATGATATTTGGTTTCATCATATTTAGCTGTATGTTCCTGAAATTTGAATCCTCTTCATACATTTCTTTTTGCCTTTTTTTTACTTCATTTATTTTTTCTATTTTTGTAGGTTAAATCATTTTGATATTTATTTTTCATTTTAATTTTTTTCATTTGCGCATTGTGAATACACTTTTCCTTTTTCTTAATGATTTCATACTTTGGCCAGGGCTCGTTTTTTCTCATTTGCTGTCTCATGCGCTTCCTTTTTTGATTAGAACTTTGTCTATTTTTACGTTTTTTCTTTCCATGGTCTACATTTCTAACATGAACTTCTCCAATTACTATTATTCATCATGACTATCAGCACATTCGCTTGCATCATTCTTAAGCTGTCGTTCTCATTCATTTTTAGCAATTTGGTTTTTCGAATTTCCTTGCCAAGGTCGACATCAAACGTTTGCATCGCTTTCGAGGTTACTCCATTTTCGTTTTCTGCTTAAGATAGAGTTGGAATTCTGAACTTTGTTCACTAAATTTAATCTATCAGAGTCTTCCCGGATTTAGTACAATTTTTGGAATCTCCTTTTTGTTCATTTTCATATTCTGTATTTTATAGAGTCATTTCCGTTCAGAAGACAACTATTATTTAGCTGGGATTCTTTTAATTTTTGTTAAGCCAATGTCACACTCTTCAGTTTCAATTCCTGACCGTTATAATGTACATCATGAATGATTGTTTCATTTGCTTCTTCAGGGAAGAGAAATACATTTGGGTTATCAATCATCTTTTGTGGTTGCTGACCGTTATAATGTACATCATGAATGATTGTTTCATTTGCTTCTTCAGGGAAGAGAATACATTTGGGTTATCAATCATCTTTTGTGGGGAAACACTCTCATCCAATATTTGAACTTCATCAAAGCTTTCACAATGTATGGAACATCCAGAGCTTCCAGACTGACTTTCACTGTGCGTATTTGACGAAGGAATTGGATTACAAACAAAATCCTGTAACTGTGGATAGCCTTTCAGGTTTCATTCTTACCGGAAGTTGCTTTAGCACATACACTAGTTACTTCATATTCGGTGTGCAGGGGGCATCCCATTGATTTGCTAACCTCATGCAATGCTTGTACACACCTTTGCCACCTTTGAGTACGAAGTACAACACTGTGTCCGTTAACAACTCAGGAAACCTCGACTGCTTCTGGAATGTGAATCAAATATAAAGAAACCATCTTGACCAGATAAATACAATTGAAAGTACTTCTAGCAAATGTCACAAAACATGCATCAGAATCAGTACAGAGTTTCTTTTTCGATGCTTGCTTCAATGT